TTATTTAGATACTTGATATAGTAGATGTATGATTTTATACTAGATCGGAGAAGATGAGGAGTATCAACGATGGTTCATAAGAACCAACTGTTGCGCTTCTTTGCTATATGCCTTCATGTACTCGCCCACATGTTTACATGTCGCTTCTTAGTACCAGATTTTTCCTAGCAATTTTCTTTTACCATTTTATTGAAGATAACTCATTTCCTCTCAATGTTGCCTCCTTGATACAATTTGCTTTCAAGTTTTTCGATGTCTCAATGTAAGAGTTTAAAAAGATTTTCAGTTACGTAGTCACAACTTTTCAGAGTTTTATCCGAACCTTGATTGTGATATATAAATGAGTACATTCATGAACCGGAAGAGTTTGATCTACTAGAGAAGTAGGAGAGACAGAGTCATTGTTTAAAGAAAGAGATATAGAGGTCAACTAACACTCTGAGGTGTTCGAAGCTGTTGACAAAAGACCAAGGTCTACACTTTGAACTTTGTTTCTCTCAGCTTTATTAACTTTGTTACAATGTGATTGTGCATTTGTGAGTATTGAAGGGTCTGATGCACTGCCCTTTTTCCGGTTTCCAGATGTTCCTCTTCGAGGGATACTCCTTCCTTTGAGGTTTAGATTCTTTTTCTAAAACTTCTGTCATACAGAGATTTGCAGGAACTTAAATCGAAAGACCTATTTCTAGAGAATCTTCTGTATTAAACTCTGACACGATTGAAACACAACAGAATTGACAAATACACTTATGAAGTCAATTTTTTTTCCTCAGCGTAGCATATATGTTATTGTCTTTGGTATTCTTTTGTTTAAATAGCTTTCGTATACCTCTGGTTTGGTTGTAAGCATTTTCACAACCTAATTTGTTCCCCCTTTCTTAAGGTGTGTGTTGCTCTTCATGTTGTGAGTTGTGAGCCAACATTTGATTGGTTGTTGTTTCTCGTGCAGCAAAACTTTTGATGCCCTTTGGTTAACAAAAATTAATAACTCAGCCTACACTATCTTTGGTGTATCATAATGGCATTAAATGGTATATGTCTCTTGGGAGGCTTTTACGGTTGAATCTTAGACAGATAGTGCGATATGTGATATTAGTTGTTTAGGTACAGTGTCCATCTTGTAGGCTTGTAATTTGAGAGGGAGAGGAAGCGGGAGGAAGAGAACGATAATACCAATCTTAGTTTGGGTAACTTCTACCACACTATCCCTAGAACACACTGCATTCTATTTTGCTAGTTCTTTTTTAGTCTCATGATTAGCAGACATGGTTTAGGAAACCTCATACCTACTGAGGCGGGTCAATTGAGGGTTCTTATTGCTCTCATGAGTTTACAAAATGGTTGGTGAGTAAGTTGCGGGACTCTTTTTTACCGATCTTTGTTTATGTACTTTTTTCATCACACGTTTATATGTATTTGTGAATTGTATTAGAATGCATTTATTTCTCTTGGTTGTTACATTGAGGATCGTTTGGACGAAAAGTGTTTTAAGCAATGCACTTTGTTTCTCTCGCTGGTCTTCGCTTCAAAACTGTCCATGCTTCTTAGTTCCATTGCTATCTTCGATCTGTATTTACATTTTGTCATGCAACAAATAGGTTTTTTTTTTACTTTTACCACATCTCGCGTATACAACTATATTTTTCTCTATCTGGAGAGCCAAACGTTATCCTTGCATCAGTTAAATAATACCTTGCTCGTATGAAACTATATTAATTTGGTATAAAAAATTTTAACACTCACAATGTAATAATTCTTACAACCAAACCAAAGAACAAATGCTTTGATACGTTTTTCAAATAGTTGTGAAACAAGTATATTGTGAGTTGGAGAAAAAACCCGCGCATATGCGCGGGTATTCAGCTAGTATAGTATAATTTTCTTTTAGCATTTTACCATTCAAGTAAAAAATAAAATATTCTGATTTTATCTTGGACTCACATAAAAAGGTATCTTTTATTTTTTGTTATCAAAGAGTTGTTTTTTATCGGGAGAAAACTTTCTTTTTAAAATTGTTAGGTGAAAATATTTTTCTCCTGAGTTTTATTTTATTAACGTGGGCTCAAAAGAAAAAAAAATCTTGTTTTCTTTTACCAATAAGAGCTAAGAAGATCGCTTATTTAGTGGTAGAAGTTTACTAATCTTTTCGATCCAAAATTATATTACAATAATGTTTATTGATAGATGATATTATATAACCCATCAATCTATGTCACACTTGTTTCAAGATTTTGCCATCTAGAAGATTAAAATCTCTACTCTGCTTTCTACATACTCCAATTTTTTACCCTTTGAACTTCATTTGGTTACATTCTTTCTGTCTATAGATAGTTTGTCAATTAAAATTTGGATATATGTGGGGGTCCAAACCAACACAATAGAATTTGTTAGTGTTTCTAGAGGAAATCTGAGATTTCTGAGCTAGAACCACAAGAGCAAGAACAAATATGGAAAATTACTGTAAAAAAAAGTTTTATTGATTTTTGTAGAGTGTTGTTATGAAAAGTTGCGGATCCCTTTTTTCAAGAGATGTATATGTCTATTTATACAAGTTCTAGGTCGGCTAGGCCAACTCTTCAAGAGATAAGGAAGATTTCCTAATTTCTAGGGATTTCCTATTGTTAAAGTCGGTTCTGATAGCAGGCTCTGTCTTCATGGGCTTCGTCGCGTATCTCTTTGAAGCTTGACCTTGTCGACTTTGTGTCTTGGGCTCTGAACTTCTTGAGCTTGTCACTTCGTCCTCGCTGTTCTTGGACTTGCCATCTCACCATCTCGCCATAAACTCTCAATTTGGCCCAACTCGTCTTTATGCTTAATGTGCCTAGCTTGGCTTATAGCAAAGCAAGTCCTTGGCGAACTCTCTATTTCAGCTCGTTCACCTAGCCAACTCGCCAAATGGCTTGTTTCATCTTGGTCAGCTCGCCAGTGCGACCTGTTGACTTAGTCAGCTCGCCACTAAAACTGTTGACTTAGTCAGCTCGCCACTAAAACTATTGACTCTGTCAGCTCGGTACTAAACTGTTGACTTAGTCAGCTCACCAGAAAAATGATACTTAGTTATTTTCCTGATGATTTCAACTGAGGGGATTTTGACCCCAACAGTTAGCCCCCCAGCTCGGTATTATCTGCTATGATAGTGCCGAGGTAAAAGATTGTCGAGGATGAAATCAATGTTGGCGAGCTCACCCCTTGTCGTGTCGATGCCGAGCTCTCAATTTTTTTTTTTTTCGAGCTCAACTTGCTTCTGCTAAAATCGGCGAGCTTAGCTTGTTTCGTCAAAGTTGGCGAGCTTAGCTTGTTTCATCAAAGTTGGCGAGCTCGACTCGATTTGTCATAGTAGGACGAGCTCAAATTGCTTCTACTAAAATCGGCGAGCTCAACTTGTTTCGTCAAAGTTAGCGAGCTCGACTCGATTTGTCATAGTAGGACGAGCTTAAATTGCTTCAGCTCGTCATGATATCTCATCTTGGCGAGTTATTATACTTAGTAAAAATTTCAATCTTTCATCAGGAATTAAAATTGTCTGTCGTCGGTTCGTAGCTAGTAAGATCGTCCAGATTGACAAGTCTCCACGATAATTGACGTAACTTCCTGACCGTTGAACCAAATGACTTCAAATTTCTTTTGGATGAAAGCATACTCAATTATCTATACTATACTAAAATTTCAGCTTAAGCCAAGAAATTTAAGGATTTTTACCGAGCTCTTCTCTCAACCTCGACATAAATAAGGTTATTTCTTCAGCTTGGCATATCTTGCGAGAACTGATGTATCTCTCTACTCGTTTGTCCGACTGACTTAAAATCTCTTTTGGATGAAATTTCTATCTTGTAGCAAAATTTCATGTCAATCTGAGGTTTTCAAGCCTCTTGCCGAGCTCATCTCTCCAGCTCGGCCGAAACGAGCACATTTCTGCAACCCAACATGTCTTCAGTAAATCAAGTGTATATTGCTATACGCAACTCTGAATAATATGATTTCAACTTTATTGGAAAGCTGACTTAAAGATCTTGTTATTCATTATTGGACCGAGCTCGTTAGTATACTGCCGAAGTCGTCTCTTAGATCATTAGTGCCGAGATGGAAAGCTTGATTTTCACGGAATCTTGTTCAACTTTTCGTTGAATTGGCGAGTGGTCTTGGCCGACAAAGGGTCGAGTGCTTGCCAACTTGTCGTATCAAAGAAAATTTGAGAACTTGTCAGGCTTACGTCAAGATTGAATTAGTTGGAT